CACGAAAAGTCTTCACACACACACACTTAGTTCCATAAAGAATATCATACAGTTCCACTGAAATTAAGACTTTAAACCTATACACATTATTCTAATATTTATTTTCCTCTTATATCAATTAACCCACAAACATTACAGGTTATTCTTTGAAGTACGTAAATTACCACATTGTAAAAGCTCTTATAAATATTCTTGGCTGTCAACTTTAAGGAAGTTTGAAAATTTTATAAAGTTGAGAATTTTATTTTGTTTTATTTGTCACATGATTGTTACATTCTTTGAGTGAACAATATTTAGTTTTGCTTGTCTGTTTGTTTGGAATTAAGCACAAAGCTACACAATGGGCTATTTGTGCTTTGACTACCACTGGTATCGAAACCCGGGTTCTAGCATTGCAAGTCCGTAGACATATCACTGTCACACTGGGGGGGGGGGGACATTATTTAGTACAAATCTTTATAAGTAGTGGTGCTTTGAATAATATTTTATATTTTATTGAAGTTTGAGTCTCTTCTGTGAATAGGTCATTTTGTTTTACAACACAATGTTTTTAAGGCCTGTATTCTGAATGAAATTTTAAACATGGTAAAACATTATGTTTTGTTTCTTGTACAATTTACAAAAAATAACAATGAATGTAGAACAAACCCTAAAGTATAAAATTAATTTTATACAAGTAAGGTTATTAGATGTATCTAATCAATCAAAGGTGAAGGAATACAAGAATATATTGAAAATTCACATAAAATGTGAGCTTTTTAATGAAATCACTGTGACCAGAGGTCCATTATTTTACAGGATGTCATTTTAGACCAATTAGAAATATTTGGAATGTGTGAAAAAAAAAACACTTGAATCCTGAGGAATTCTGTAAACACCAGCAACAAACAAACATCAAAAATTATATTTCATGTGTTTGAAATACGTTGATGTTACAAGACATTGGCATAACCTTGAAATCCTCAATACATCTTTGTCACTTACAAGAACTGATTTCTCCTCATTGTAAGTAGTATCATCAAAATGTGCAGGGCAAAAATTTATATATCCTGCTACAGGCCGATCATGCTGGTCCAGTTGACAATAGGAGGCATAAGCTAGTATTTCCTGAAAAACAAAAATACAACTTTATAGAAATTATTAAGTAAATTTCAATCCTTTTAATAGAAACAATATTAAGAACCTTAGACTGTAGTTAATCTGCAGTTATTAAATCATGTCAATCATAAAACACATTTTCATACAATTTTAGAGTAATTAACATTCCAAGAATATTTGAGAAATTAAACTTTTTTTCTTACATAAAATGGTATTTTCACTGTTCATTAACAAAGGAGTTTCCATAACATTAAAGTTACTTTTGTTGTATTACTCTGAAACTTCCAAGAAAAATATTTGTCAAGCTTTGAAAAAACTACCCTGACAATACAGTATTTTGTATTTCAACTGTAGTGTGAGATTACACTGATAATACAGTATTTTATTATTTGACTATTGTGTGTGATTAACCTGGAAATACAGTATTTTATTGTTTGATTCTTGTGTGATCACCCTACAATATTGTATTTTATTGTTTGACTGTTGTATGTGATTATCCTGACAATACTGTATTTTATTGTTTGACTCTAGTGTGAGATTACCCTGATAATAAGAGTATTTTATTGTTTGATTCTTGTGTGATTATCCCGACAATACAGTATTTTATTGTTTGACTCTAATGTGAGATTACACTGACAAAAAAAAGAAAGAGTTCTGATTTAATAAGAATAACTGACCATAAAGGACTATATTAAAACTTGTTGTGAGTGTAACAATATAAGAAATTTGAACATTGCTGGTATTTTAGATTTAATACTGGCATTTATTTTACATTTTTATGGCTGTTAAATTTTTTTCATGTTAAATCTTTATATTGACTTATCACATACAACAGTCAAACAATAAAATACAATATTGTAGGGTGATCACACAAGAATCAAACAATAAAATACTGTATTTCCAGGTTAATCACACACTATGATGTAGTCAATAAAATACTTTACTGTCAGTATAATCTTACATTAGTCATACAATAAATAGTGTAACATTGGCATAAACTTGGTAGAAAATTTCTATTTGTCACTTTTGTATTTAATAAGCTAGTATGTAGAAATATATCAAAAGGTACTAGAAATATTACAAAATAAAAAAATTTTTTGATAAATTTTCAATACCTTAACATAACAATTCCTATTTTACTTACACTATACTTTTGTTTCATTAAAAGGCACAACTGCTTTTTCATAGCAGTTGCCAAAACAAAAGCTATTACCAAAGATCTGTCCTTTCAGCAGATTTTAATACAGTTGATAGAGAAATAATCAAGACTTTTGTTACCAGCTGAACTCTAACTATTAGATGATGAAAACAATCTTAATTGTCTAAAGGGAAATACTTGGAACAGGGTTTTTTTTTCAAGTTCAAATTAAGCCTTATACAACTGACTGGGTATTGAGTGGATTTTATTTGCCTATTTTCAAACAACTCTACTTGGCTAAAGAAGAACTCCTGGTAGAGAAAAAATTATTTAGTGGACTTCACATGCTTGTTTCCAAAGTTTTTTACACAAACATTAATAAACAATCAAGTAAAAGACAGAGGTGATTTATGTAAAATAGACATATTCAGCTTTATTCTATAACTATCTGTACACCAAAATATATCTAAAAGCAGTAAAATAAACATTTTTACTAAGGACAATTCATTCACAATTTTTCTAACATTTTAGTGTTTATATTGTAAGAATTTATATTTCTACTTAAAATTATAAACTTCAGTGTGGAATCTTTTATTGTAAAATGTTGTTTGAATTGAAAGAAGAACAAAAAACATGAATAATCCTGTTTCACATTTTCTTTACAATTAATAACATACCATTCTTGCCTGTGATACACCACGTAACTTCACTTCAGCCATTGAAAAGTTGGAAGATAACTACTTTTTTACTAAGTTTGACGTGTGACGTCGCTTCAACCTTATATATTATGAAAAATATGAAAAGAACAATAAATGGACAATCACTTTACCTCTTTCTGACACCATTCTGAATACATGCTGTTGATGTACAAGAGATAATCAGCATCCTTTACTCCTGGACCAGCTGGAAGAGAGGATGGAAGTGGTGCTGGCCCTGAAAAGTTGTAAACGAGTACTTCCTCCAGATGTTCTTCAGGGATCTAGAACACAAACAGTTTTAAGTACAGTTTGAGGTCAAATGTTTTCATACACTTTCATCATTACTATAATGGAAGAACATCACAAACATTTTCAGATTCATGAAAATAGTTGTATTTATTTATAAACTGGCTGACTATTTAAATTTAAGACCTCCCCACACACTTATTATCCTATTGCTGCAATAAAAAGCTGGAGGGTTTTGCTGTAGAATAGACTACATATCATACTGGAAGTTGTCTCTTTTGATTGTAATCCATTTATTAAGGAATGTGACCAACAACTGGTACAGAGGTGTTATGAAAGGATTACAGTAGGAAATGCAGTGTTTAGATTCATTACTAAGATGCATAATGAATTTATGATTCCATGCTAGATGAACCAAAGATAATGATTAAAGACACTGCCATGTTCTTTAAACATAGTTCATATAGTGTAAACATAGTGGATTGTTGCATTGTCATCTTTGAAGGACCTTTGTCTACCTGGGTTTAAGTGTAGCATTATGGGATGGATGTGATTGACATAAACATTTAGGTACTATGTGAATACTTACTGTTCACATTTCTAAAGGAATCAAAGAGTATAAACCATTACATTGCCTCTGGCAGGTTGCAGTGTTGGAATTAATACAAACACGATCAAGTACCTCATATGCTTTTCTTGATACTTTCATAAGTCTATTGTCAGTACAAAAAAGAATGAAATGATATTCAAAGGTTCACAACATATGCTTTCAGTCATTCACTTTGCACAATTTGTAGTCAAAGCTCCGCTGGAACCAAGATGTCCTACTTGGTTTCATTTTTGACTGCAGTACGACAATTTTACACATTCTTCATATGGTAGGGCTGGATATAGTCAAAACCTGATTACTGCTAAATGAACTGATCACCTGCAGTTGGAAGACAGTTTTTCTTAATGGAATTTGTTAATAGATTCTGATGAAATGTATTTGAACAAAAAGCCAAATAAACAGTCTTTAATAATGATGTTCATGCTACAGATCCTTGCACTTACCCACTGACTTGCAGATTGAACAGGAAATGACTAATCCTTGTATTTACTGGGTTCAAGCAGTCATCTGACACATCACATTAGTCTGTTTTACATATAAAAATAAATACAGAATTTTACACATGGATGTATGAGTATGTCCTAAAAAGGAGACCAGTAAGCATACATAATAATAATCTTATACTCCTTGATGTGGGGTGTATTTAATATTTAAAGATGAGTTCAGGGCCTATGTGTATCTCACCAATTTCAATATTTGTGAAATACTGGAGTGAGCACTAGCACTCTCTATGTTGGGATGGCACAGACACCAGTATCAAAGCAATACAAAAGACATCTGGATATTTTTCTCTAGAGGTCATCAGAAGCTAGATATGAAGAGCTAACTGGCATAGTCACTCTATATCTGGTGTATATGCCACTTTTCAGTTATCCAGAATGTCCCAAAGTGCAAAACTGGCAAATAGCCAAAACCAAGATTTCTTATTTTCATTCATCCTCATCTTTATTCAACAGGTCTAAAAACTACTTAGTTCTAGCAGTAACTATTATTTAATATTCCTGATGACAGTTCTCTTTACCTATAAAAATAATTTGATGTATTTTTGTCACATGTACCACATGATGGCTGTGGTGCAAAGAACTTCTATCAAAAACTATATATTAATGTGATATTTTCACATATGTAATAAGCCATTCAGAAGTTACAATGTTGATATTATTGTTCCCTTCACATATGCTAGAAATAACAAACTTGTTGTCAGAGTTATTTAAATTATCTAAATATCGCAATTATTTCATGTTTGCTATGGAATACAAGTTTTCAGAGTATCAAGAAGAGACTGCAGTACTGTGAACTAACAAAGAATGACTGAATATAATCAAATTACTCTATAAAATTAGAAAATGGGTTATTTATTACAGCAAATGACCACGTAGAAATCTTGGAAAAAAACACACACAAGGAAGGATAAAACAGCAAAAATGACACTTAGTGCAGATAATGGGATTACAAAAGTCATATTTTTTAGCAAAACTAGCAGACTGATGGTTACATTATAAGCTGAAGAAAGAACAATCTGTTATATATCTCAATGAAACAAAGACCTCCAATACTTGTGAATTGTGAGTAGTATAGGTTACTCAGCTACATTATAAACCAAGCCATTATTGTTCTACTCAGTTTTAATGCTCAAAGCACCACAAGAGCCAATATCTCGCATTATCGACTGTGATAATAATGGCTTTGAAATCCAGAAGTGTAGAGATCTCTGCAAATAGTGGATGTACTGATCTGCAGTCCAGAAACTCTCATTTACCACTTAAGTAATAGATGAATTACCAGATGTATGACTTTATTTCAGAATGTTACATGATTTGTATGAATAAAAAAGTAATTAATTTTAAGAAGCAGGGCTGATATTCTAAATCAGATTAAGTTGTTCAAGAAGTCACATAAAAAAAGACAGTGAAAATAAAGACATTTGTATTTCCATAAGGTTGATGTACAATGGTTCAGCCTAGTGTCATTCTTCAGGTAAAGTTACTACTTGGTATGACACAGTTAAAAACCAATCAGCAATTTTACCTGTACAAGGGTATTAGTCCAAAACATTGCATATCAACTTCATGGAAATATATATAGGCATTTAATTTTTCAACAACTTAACCTAAGCCTTTTACTATTATTTTCACCACAAGTATTATTTATTTTTGGTATTTCTACATATGATATTCCAGATTAGCCATCTAGTAGTCTTGCATTTCTTCAGCATAGAAGACTTATCTTGGAGCAGATGGGCTAAAATGTCACTAACATTCACATCACAGCTGCTATATCTAATAAGTATACTTCTTCACTGACTGTTCATGACTTCCTTTCACATGGCATCTTGATTTCCAATGGCTCTCAGAGGCATTTGTTGACCTTTATAAACCTTATGCAGCAATGTACCACTGGATTCAGATGTAAATTCATTAGGGACTGGCCTTTTCCTTCATACTAGCTGATAGTGTGTTGTTTCAATATTTTGAAAATATATTAGGAGAGTAACTCATAAAAACAATTTTTATAAATGTTTTACAAAAAAAAAATGAAAAAATAATCAGGTAATACTTTTTCAATATCTGCAATAAGTGGCAGAAAGTGTTAAGCCAATCTGCCCTTACTCCATGCCTGCTGTTGAGGTGGGGTTTTTCCACAAGACAGCTTTAGCAGTGTATATATATTTTCTCTTCTAGGCTGAACTTCATGAGAAAAAAATAAATAAAAGAAAGCACCTTACTAGCACCCGCTGTCTTTAGTTGCAGTAGTCCACTGCACACTCTGTCAGTGTGGGGCTTTATGTAGATGTGACATTTCCTCTTTGGTCCGAGCGTCTCTCCATCCAGCATACTCTCCATACAACTTTGTCCCTCCAATTTTATTCAAGAGGAATAAGGGAGAACCCTTGCTGATCCAGTCCTAACACGATATGGAGAGGGGGACAATATACGGAATTCAACATTGGGTCAGTGTTACCCCACTAGGATGAAACCAAGCGAACTCATCCCTCCATGGAAATTATAGTTGGTGTATTGACTAGAACTGAAGTACAAGCCACCCCCACTAAATTATGGACCAACCCATTCCCAGTAGTTAGGCCAACTGATTTTTTTGGTAAGTATCTAGAATATCTAACAGAACAGCTTGATTTACTGCCCTAGCGACACTATGCACTCATGCTCAGCCAATTGCCTGTGTGATAATGGCCAGTTGAGCAATTTTACATTTTGGCCACTTATGTGACATTTTAGCACCACATAAAAGGTTCTTGTGACAATATCATTCTCCCTACCTCCTCTATTTGGCAAAGCGTATTCAGGCTTAAGACTGATGATCTGTCTTCCACCAAGTGATGCTCTACTAGGTTAAACCTCCCATCCCCCAATAATGGGTGACATGCTTGATGGGTTTTCCCTTTCTGACACTATGTTTTCAGCAAATAGCCCATCTTTCCTTTTTTTATTTGCACAAGCCCATTCACCATCGTCAATGTGGGTTTCTTTGTTCTGCAGAGAGGTGAGTAAACATTTCTCAAGTTAACCTCACCTGAAAATGTATTTCAGATAGTTACCTTTCTGTAGAACATTTCCACTTTTTCTCCCTATTTCTAGTTAACCTATTTTGTCTCATACAAATGAGCCTTTGTTCAAATACTAGTGCTTATTGGGATTACTGTGCATGGAGGAGTGCTGCCGTCTTATCAATGGAGGGCTATAATCTAATGATGATTGCACCAGAAACTGAAGCAATATATGTTAGTACATGTAGGGGTGGGAGCTTTGTTCAAGGTTTAAGTGTGCAAAAATCTTCACTGCAGTGGCATGAGGTAATAGCTCTGTTATGCAGAGAAGTGAGTAAATATTTTATATATAGCTCTTTTTGACACAATTCTGTAGGATAAATTTTGAAAATACTCAGCAGTGAATCTACACAATAAATCTATCTAAATAAATGAATTTATACAAACCTGCATTTTGTCAATTTGATTTTCACAAAACTCTCCCATATATCCATGTTTGGTTTCTGCACATCTGTCAAAAGCAAAAAATTTAATTTATAAAACAAAAATTACCCATATCATTACACTTTACACATTTAGAACAGTGCTTAATGTTTTACTGTTAGCAAATAAGGAATAACAAATCCTATATGAACACACTATTCTATATATACAACAATGTTTCTGATGATTTTAATATGTCCATAGTTTATTTTCACTATTAAATATCTTGAAAACAAAGCCCAGAATATTTCAGACTAAGAAAGTGTTCATGCAATAACAAGATAATTTTGTGAAATATAATATAAATTTTTATCATTCCCAAATGGTGAGAATTACCAAGTTATTATGTAGAAAATTTATTTTAAGTACCTAAATTCTTAAATCTAAATGCAGGACCATTACCTTAATTATTAAATTTAAATACTGGGCTATTACCATAAACTATAACATCAAGTCTAAATGTAGGACTGTTGTATTAAATTATTAAACCTAAATGTAGGACTAGTACAGTAAATTATTAAACCTACATGCTACTTGTAAGATTTTAAACACCATGAAGCATAATTGGTACTAAAGCCTGAAAGTGTTGTTGGGTTTGGGTACATTCAATCACACACACACAGATATATATATGTATACATTATAATCATAAACAGCAAAGATGTATTGAAATAGAAATTATTTAATAGGTAAAATTGTACATCTTGGTACAACCTGTGAAAGTTATCAATTCAATGTCATGCCTGTTTCTACTGATGATAACTCGTCCCTTTTTTGAACGCCTCAAGTAACTTATGCCCATGATTACTTTTACACAGAACCACAACATTTGCTGCAGGGGAAAAAAATATTCAGTTTCTTGCACTTTAATCTGCCAAATTTCATTAACATATGCTTACAGATTTAAAAGTTATAGCATGAAAACTATAACAAGCACAAAATGGTTATGAGGTCGGTCCCAGGGATACATCCTGTGCTGAAAGAGTTAAAGGGAACCTAAAATTGGCATCATTAAGTCAGTTATAGTAGTTCACAGAAATGTTTTGCACTGTGTTCTTAAGAAAGGAATATATGTATTTTTTCTAATGAGAAGGCTAGAGAAAGTTGTTGAGGTTTGTAAAGCAATGTTTTTCTCATGCCTTTTTTCTTTTCACATGTTGCCTATCCAACATGCAAAGTAAATTTCATTTTAAGATTAAAAATACTTCTATGCATCAGGAAATTTTCAAATTTCACATACAAAATCTTCATAATGTCCAGATAGTTATCAAACTTTCTTAAGAAAAAACTTAATGTTATCTGTTATTTTCAGTAATGAATATCTGTACGGATTCGGTAGATTTGACTGATCTCGTAACCACCATAACAAATTAGGAAATAAATATAAATTATGCCTCTTTCATTCTAGAATGACAACAAATTATAAGACAAAAACATAAATGTTTAGACTAAATAGCTTAAATCTCATAACATTATATATTTATTATATTGACCTTTCAGCCACGCCTGGCTAACAAAACAGAAATTACAATTACGCGGCATACGTTACTGTATCCAATGATATAAAACTGACCTTTAGTCTTTACAAAGTGACCTGTCTTGGCTGTGTTTTAGTAGACTAGTATTTTCTAAAACACAGTCACATTTCAATTATTATACATTATATATGTATATAGATTTACTATTTAGAAATAAGTTTTTGCTTATTTTTCTTAAAACATAGAACAGTAAATAAAGAAGTAAAGCAAACAATTATCTCTTCTAGTTATGACCTTTGTACTCTGTTGCTAAACCTTTTAAAGTTTCGCATGTGGAGGATATGGTGTCCTAACACATGCAAATGTCTGAGAAAGCCACTAGGGGGACATTTTGAGCTTTTGATTGGTTATTCATGTCATATAGAGAAGTAAGTGTATATAAGGGACCATTTCCAAAAATGGAAAGTTTGGTGGGGCCACTGTTTGATTCAGTCAAGATGCCATCTTGTTCTTTCAAACCAAGATTTCAGGGAGGTAGGTTGTATCTTTAGTCTGCTTGAAATTTCATATTTTTTAGACCCAAATACAGCTTAGTGACAAAGCTTGATAAATTATAGTGGAATTCTACGGTATTGATATTGTAATTTATGATTTTTTGGTTATTCACCTGTGTTATTATATATATTTAGTTTCATATCCTCCATGTGTGGAATTTTAAAAGGCGTAGCAACTGAGTGAAAAGGTTATAACTAGAAGAGATAATTGTTTGCTTTACTTCTTTTTTTACTGGTCTATGTTTTTAAGAAAAATAAGTTTAAAAACTTATTTCTAAATAGTAATACACTATATACCTATATAGTGTATACTACTTGAAATGTGACTGTATTTTACAAAATATTAGACTAGTAAAACACAGCCAAGACAGGTCACTTTGTAAAGTCTAAAGGTCAGTTTTATATTATTGGATATGGTAACATGGGTGCATGTGTTACACATCATTTTAAAATTTGTATTGTTAGCCAGGTCAGCATAATAAAAAATATATATAAATGTATAATAATCTTATGAGATTTAAGCTATTTAGTCTAAAGATTTATGTTTTTGTGTTATAATTTGTCATTCTAGAATCAAAGAGATATAATTTATATTTATTTCATAATTTTTTATGGTGGTTACAAAATTGGCCAAACCTGTACAGAGATTTGTTAGTGAAAATATCAGATAAAAAAAATTGTTTTTCTTAAAAAATGTTTGATAACTATTGTGACGTTATAAAGATTTTGCATGTGTAATTTGAAAAATTGCTGATGCATAAAAGTATCTTTAATCTTAAAATGAAAATTACTTTGCATGTTGGATTGGCAACATGCAAAAAGAAGAGAAAAAAAGGGGCATAAGAAAAACATTGCTTCACAAACCATGAGGCTTAATAGAAAAAAAAATTGATATTTTGCATGTGAAAGCATTGTAATGTTTACTGATAATCAGCCAAATTTTGTAAACATTTGCTTACCAATTTAAAAGTAATAGCATGCAAACTATAACAAGCACAAAATGGTAACAAGGTTAGTCCCAAGGACCAAGTCTGTGCTGAAAAAGTTAAAAAGCAAGTTGTTTTAAGTGTTACATTGCTTAAGAGTAGAAGCACATTGCTTGGTGATTATCATTTCAAAGGTGTTATTCTCAATGATAAGATATCTGTAAAGAATTTAGAGATCCTCACACACTTTTTTATTTGTGGGTATAAAAATTTGTTTAAAGTATTTCAAATACTAAAGTTTATATACCCACTCTACATTTAACAAAAAGCTAAATGTGTTAGCACACTGTGTAGAATAACAACCTTTATATGGGTTATGCTATCTTGTTACACATTTATGTATAGCCTTGCTGAAAGTTTTAAAACTGCCTCTCTTATTTCTGCATGTGTATATGTATGTGTGTGTGTGTGTGTATTTGTGATATTAAAAAAAATCCTTAATATTTAATTATAAAACTATGGACTTATCACTGACAATGTTGGCCAAATGAACATAGTTGAAATTGAAGATGTGCCATCTGTGACTAATCAAGCAAAGGTTCTTGTAATCTTATTTTCACAGAATTATAAACTTAAATGTAAGAATAACTGATTCCTATAGCACCTTTATTTATCTTTGAAATATATTCTATTTAGAAATTTTAAAAAAAATATTTTTTTGTCTCCACAAAATTTTAGTTAACACTCATGTTTTAGTGTTTGTGTGTAATGTTGAATTGGTATTTTAACAATATTTATGAAAACAGAAATTGGTAGTTATTATCAGCTATTATATATTGTCGGATCCTGTAAGGTACATTAAAATTATTCTTCACTTTCATTGTATATCAGATTTTATTGTACCAAGAGTAATAAGTTGATCCCAATTATAAATATTTTTGTTATTGAACTGATATTAGTATTTGGTTGAAACTTAGGTCATGGGATTTATAATGCTGATCAGTGACATTTTTGGTGAATTTTTAAAAGTTGGTTTTGTGTGAATGCTTGTTTTTCTTAGTTATAAACACTAGTCTTTATTGAAGGATAAAAATGTACAGGAACATTTACATGTTTCTGTATCACCCTTGCAGTAGAAATTAGAAAAGGCTAGTTATTGTTTTAGTACAACAAAACCTGGTGTCCACAACTGGAAACTTTTTCTATAGTATGGTTTTTGTAGTTAAAATGTGTGCAGTTGTATACTAGCTTAGTATTAAATTTATTGTATATTAAAAAAATTTAGATAAATATGAAAGACTAGAAAGTCTATAATTCAAGTTGAAGATAATGCAAATTTACTAGTTGTATGAGTTTGCAAATTTGTTTCCCATCAGTGAAGTGAGATGTGCTTTAGACTTAATTTTTTTTTTTATCACTTTTCATTATGTGTATATTGCAGATCTAGTTAACAGTGTATTTATTTACTGTAAATTATGTGAAATACAGTTTCCTCTTTCACTATTATTGTTCTAAAAAATTTAATTACTGGTATAATAGTTGTAACGTATCTACTGTAGGTGGAAACAAAAGTAGTTTTGGAAGAATAAACTGATTTAATATGAATTGGTTTTTATATTAAGGATGAAATACGGCGTTTTTAGTCATTCTTTATGTATAAAAAAATTTATATGCACATATTTCAACTAATAATGTTGATAGTTTGTATAAGTGTCCTTAAAAGCACATGTAAAATGGTAATGTAGTCTAGAATCCTAGAAAACTTAGCTAATGCATGAAAATGTTTTTTATTCTAGAATTTTTAAATATGTGGAAATAAAACGTGTTTGGCCCAGTGCTTTTAAATCCAGCTTATTGCTATTAATTATCAACTTAGTTATTAGCTTGAATATTGAATTACCTTAAAGTAATTTGTAGCTAGTTTCTCATCCCTTTATTATGTGATGTTGCAGTTATGATTATTTAACAAGTCAAGGCTGAACTCGTAATAATGAAACATTTAAATTTATGTTACAATAATGAAATGTAGAAGTATAAAGCTACTTTTCCCTATTTTTATCATTTTACTGGACACCCCTATGATGTTGCCTCAGGATACTAAAGGAATGTGTGTGTACTTTTCTGTTTATAAATTTCATTGATATACATGCTGTTAAAATTTATCATGAGGTAATTGCATTCCATAATTCAAGGCTTCTGTGCATTGAAAGTTTTGAATCCTTCAGACAAGCAGTTAGCATAGATAATCAAGTACTTAAGTGATTGATTTTGGAAAAGCAAATTAATCAAGATAACTGTATTGGTTGTCAACTTTTGGAGTTAAAGTTGAATGTCATGTTGCTTTGATGAGCGTGAACAAAGAGTGCTCATCTTTCTGAGCAGCAGTGTTTTAATAGTGATTTGTTTCAGCCATTTCAGTACATAATGACCAATGAAATAATACCTGACAATAAGAAAAAATAAACAAAAATTTAAAAGTTAATTATTCATACCAAGTAATAGTCATAACTAAGAAAACCATTATACCATATTAGATTTTAAAGACAATTCCAGTTCTAAAGCCTAAGAACAAACAACTGGCCTAGATTGAAACAATGAATATCCAATTTTAACTCTTAGAACCGCGGGCCAAAAAAAAAACTCATTATTTGTACAAATACAAAACTACTAAATATGCCATCAGTTTCAAATGGGAGTACAATTCAGGACCATAAACCAGAGATGAATTATAAAATTAAAGTTATGCTGTGCATGTACCACAAATGGATAAGAGAAATTATACACATTTTAGGACAGTGCACTTAATTTTTATAAGACTGTTCAATAGGTGATAGCATGAGGAATGGGAATATACATTTTTATCTTTTAGTTTACAGCAAAACAAATTCATGTGTGGGTGATGACTTGTACTGTTCAGAAAACCCCATTTAAATTACACATCGGTTACTGTGTTAAATGTGATACATTGGTACTGTAGAGATTATTTTGAGTTTCATTACTCTTATTTTTCTTAATAGGCTTTGTTATGCTCTATATACTTTTCTAGTATGCAGAATGGAATAATCAAAGAATCCAACTTATTGTAATATTTCCATTTAATAAATATTAAGAGGTTTGTAAATCAAACTTTAGAATTGAGTTACGTAATTCTTAAATTTAGTTCTGGAAGATACTTAAAACATCCTAGAATTTGGTTTTGGTCAAGTGCAAAAACCTTTATAGATACTGAATTACATTAAAAATGGGTATAAAATTTTGAATTTTTATTAGATATGTATAATGTATTTGATATCGTTGTAGTTTTCAATGACAATATTTTTCATGTTTGGGATTTTACAGCAAGAGGTTGCTATTCGTCAAATGCATGGAGGAATGTCTGTTGCTGGACAGGGCTTAAAGAATGAAATGAATGATAGTATCAGTGGTGGGAACATGGGAGGTAGGAAATTAGTTTTGTATTTTTAAATGGAAAATACCATTTTCTGATTAGAAAATTAAATCCATTGTTTGAAGAATTTTTCAGGATTTGCATGAACTTCATTAAGACCCAACATCAGAGTTTATATTGTTTCAGCTTTAATCCTTCTGATTTTTGGATTATTCAATTGTCCATTTGTACATGGAAACTAACTAGATAAAGTTATTTGAGGTATCAAACAACTAATTACTCAAGTATATTTTATTATAATGCCATGTACTTCACCAGTGATTCTATAACAACTGATTCTATTCAAAGAAAAAATAACTTGTTAGGGAATACTATTTAAATTATAAAAGTATACAGTAAGTTTACAATTAAAAGAAGCATGTAGAAAAATTCCTGAACATAGATAATTTGACATTTTATTTATATATATATATATATATATATATATATATGTATATACACACACACACACATATATTTTTATAAAATATGTACAAACTCGTACATAAATTGTGGTAATATTAATAACACTCGTTAAGTGAACCCTGTTTGAAATGTTATGGTATTTTAAAAATATTGGGTATATTAATGAAATATTCTGGAGTAGTAGTTGTTTGATATTTAATAAATTATTTTGTAATGCATTCGATGCTTCAGTCAACTTCTAAAAGATTAAATTCTGTAAGAATATTAAAATTGAGCATCGTATCATAGGCCTGCTATTCATATTCATTAAAGCTCACTTATAGTTTAGTGAATGGTGTTAATTCTGAGACTAGAACGGTGTTGCATTTTATAGGTTCATTGGTTTATTAAAATGTTATGCTTATAAATGCATTGTTTAATATTAGTACAAAGTACATAAAAGTTTAATTTCAATAATAAGCCACTGTTGGAAGTATGTTGTTAATGTGTAGAACATCATTTAACCATAGCAACCATCATTTGAACCCAGGAGGGTGAAATAAGTGTATTATGTTGAGGATGACAGACAAAATCTTGGTAAAATTGAAAAATTAGCTGGAAGTAGAATGCATAAGATTCATTGTAATGACAGGTTTTTGATAAAGATTATGGTATCTACTGTATATGAATAATTATTTTGCTTTAACTACATTTTTCAATATTTCTATAAATGTGCATGTTTGTGAGATGGGAATTGCTTGAATATTTGTAAATAAAGGTTGGCCAGTCAACTGTAACAACATGTGACCACTTTTTTTATGGTGGTCTTTTCTGTACTTGATATGATAACACTAGATAGACATGGACTTTAATGAATTATGGAATTTGTGGTTGTATTTTGATAGTGATAACAAAATCTAGTTACTTATCAGTAACTATAAATATTAACAAAAGTTCTTCTATATTTTTAATACCCTGAAGTGTTTTTACTTCAGTTTTAGTGTAAACCTACAAGCATTTTGGTGATAATTTAAAAATCATTTTAGCAAGATTTTGCTATTTTACTTGCTTAATTCAAGCTATATTTTGGCAGCTGGAGTGATTTAAGGAATTAGAAAATTTATGATGAAACCTCACTTCTGTCTAAAAATTAGTTTGCATTCTTGTGTACTGAAAAGTTATTATATAGAACAAATCATTTTTCAGCTCTTTCATCAAGTTTTTAAGATTTCTAATTTATAATTACTGTCAGTTTAATACAGATGCAGAAAATATGATATAATGCTTTGGGAACCTTACAGGAAAACCAAACCTTGTTATTAACTATTTGCACTTAAGTGAAGCATGAAACTTAACTATGAACATGAACAAAATAAATTACATCTCCAGACATTTATGGCAGTTGTCACTATGTGGTGATATTATGAAAGTATGTTGACAAATACAATCTATTCTCATGCATACTATACTGAAAGGTATAAAGTAATAACTTTATGAAACTAAATCATAAGAACTTTACAGGAGTGTGAAAGAGCTTTCCTTAACTTCTGGCCTGTTTGTCTTTTGATGCTGAAATTGTTTTAAAACAAAAAGATAGCTTACTGTGATTTATATTTGGAGAAGAGCACTAAAAAAGTTACATTTCAATTGTAAGTTTTTCCCTAAGCAGACATGAAAAAAAATAATTTTGATTCAAATAAAACCTATTTTATATAAATATTAACAGATACATCAAGATTGAAAAAAAATAAAGCACATGTGGGAGTAATAGGTGAAGGTAGTAAACTTTCTTGGAATGTAATGTGTATGTATTTATATATTGTGGTGATTTTCATGTTATTAGAGGGTGATTGTATTCACATCATCACACTTCAAACCAGCCAAATTTCTGGGATATTCTACAGGGGAGAGATACAATTTTATTCTTATGAAATATGAAATTATTAACTTGATAATAGGCATGCATGTATCTCTCTTTTTTAGTGCTTATAAATTACCAATCTTGTATGAAATCTATATTCAACAAAGTCTGTCCATCATAGCTGAGAGCATGATTTGGTTTTTACTTCAGAAAACGTCAGATGTCTGCATTTCTTTCTAAGTTTGGGAATATTTCAGTGAAATTGTTTTCCTAATTCTGATCATGTTGAGCATTTTGCAAGTTTTAGAAAGCATCAGTAGAAATAGGAAAGAGCTTGATTATTGTTAATGTGCACTAGTCTGTGCAACAGTTTGAAACAAATATAAAGGAAAATATTTTACCTTGAAAAATGGTGAAGAGAACTGGTGGGAATAGATGTGTATTGAATGGACTTACCATTGTTAATTTTCTTACTTATTTTTAAATAGCTTAGACTTCAATGCATTTGATAAACTATCCTCTTCTATATGGCCTGACTTCCAGAGGTCATCTGCATTCTCATTTTTCTCATCTGAAAATTTAAAAGCAAATTGTATGTTATATATTTGTATGTTAATTCCTCAAAACCACATTACAGTGCTATATGTAGATAAATGCTAGCAGAATGGTACATAGGGTGCCATAATTAGTACAACTAACTCAGGTAATACACGATAAAAGGAAGAAAAATGTGGAACTTTGAAAGGTCTAACATTTTAACTGTACCTTCTTTCCATACTCCTGGATAAAACTAGTAAATGGAAAAATAAATTAGCACTCCATTTGTAAAAAAAAAACACCACAAGACCATAAAAAAATCTTTCAAATGTTTAATACACCATAAATTTTAATTTAAATGCATATGTTAACTTCAAAGTTTATAAATTAAAAAATGTTTATCATATCAAGGAAAAGGAAGCTTCTTACTTCATTAATAGGTTATTCAAATAAAAGTGAAAATGTAAGGTTGCAATTTTTTTGTTGAAAGTAGGAACTTGCTACAAGTGACAATCGTTTATGTTCCTCTCTAGCCTAAAATAACAACATGTAGGCACACAAAATATTGATTTGGGGGGGGGGGGTATTACAGTAAGTAATGAAAAATGGAACATAATATTTTTGAATTCACCTTCTTAATTTTAATAACACTTTAATGAGACTGATTTTTGCCTAAAAGTAAAATGCTTCACGTTTAAAGTTCCAGAATTATGAAATTGCAAAGATTTGATTACATAAATTCCATTATTTAAAATGTTACAAGTATGCAGTTAAAACACTAATATTCAGTGTTTCAAATTTTATTAAGCTTAACTCCTTCACAGAAGAACTTTAGAAGCATTAACACTTTTGTAAGCCTTTTTGCTCTGTTCAGCTTAGATAGTTTTAATGCAGGTTCATACTTACCGTATTGTTCATAGATCGGATCTGTAGTATATTGCAAAAATTTACATTAAGGTTATGACATAAGTCCAAGTGGTGCTGCAGGAAGTGGAGGTCCAGGTGGAATGATGCAAGGTCCAGGAGCAATGGGAATGGCTGGGGTAATGTTGTTTCTCTAGATATATATATATATATATATACATATACGTACTTTATTAATGAATTTTTAATGGAAAGAAATTGTATGAACACAAGTTTGTGTAGTTCTCTTGTCTATATGGAAAAGTGAGAATTCAAGTATAATTTCCTTTTGCTTCAAATCTACTTAGGTACATTGGAAGCTGCTTATTTGTATTATAACTATAAATGAATTGAAATTAATATAAAATTTATGGCTACATAAATAACTTAAAATTTCACTAAATGTTTTCTTAACTAGAGCTAGTCGCAGAAACATTTGGCTATTTCTGTAAGTCTCTAGTTTAGAAACCAAATGTGGTAGAAAACTGAAATACAATTTTGGTGTCATATCTGAAAATTTTGATTTCATGTTTTCTACTTAGTTTCCATTTAAGATATTACTTAGTTTCTATGCTTATTCCTGTAAAATACTATGCAAAATGTAGTACTTGATAAATCACATTGGATGAATTCAAGGTGTTTAGGAAAAAGTTGGTTTCTCTCTGAAATTGATTACTGTTGCATCATGGTTACTCTTTCACTGGTGCAAATAGTGTGCATATAATAGCTATATGCTTGTTTGAATCTGTGGGAAGTTGTTTTTTTACAGACCATCCAATTATGTCCTGTTGTGTTACATTTTATTTGTACAAACATGTAAACAGTACTGTTTCCTGACACTAAAGGAAATGTGAATTCCAAGTTAAATAGCTTGTGTAAAAACATTTATATTTTGTTATAACTAAATCAACACACCACTTTCCTTATAAGTTTTTGTGTGAAAACTTTGAAGTTATTTAATATGAGACTATTCTTAATTTATATTTTGTTGAAGTTAGGAACTGAAAGAGCTTTCACAAAGTTATTCAACTTTCCCCTAGTTCCTTGAATCTTCAGAGTAATTATATAATAAAACTCTAAAAAAATCTATACAAGTGATATAATTTCACTTTGTGTATTTTAGATGAAATAATTTATTGTATAAAAATCTAAATGAATTAGCAAAAAACATGCTAATTGATGGTTGAATTTCTTAATAAAGGCTCTTACATGTTACAGAGCTATTTGCAGGATTTCTTGCATGGTATTTGTGAAAATTGATATACATTCCCAATTGTGTTACTTCTTAATATACTCTATTACATAAATTTCCTTACTTTTTAGATTGTCAGGTATGACTTTTGAAGCACTATTAAATAATACATTACTGTTAAATGCAGGAAATACTTCATACGCCCATCAAGTATTCTTTATATTCAAAACTTAAATCATTCATTCCCATTTTCCTCTCTAATACATTTTTGAATTATTATTTTAGCCTTATTAAAAGGAATAGCTTGTTTATGATGATTAACAAGAGAATCTAAATAAGAATGCAAGGTAGTTGAAATATTTATTTCAGTTTCATTATCTACTCAATTGTAAATACTTTAACCATATGACTACTGGATGCAGTGATTCACTGTACCTAATGTTGCCATCATTATATTTCATTCTAAGAATAAAAATAGTGGATAAAACTGTTTGAAATTTGGCAAGAACCTTACTAAAAGTATGTAGTTTCAGAAAGTAAAATATTTAATTTTGATTTTTTCTACTATTTCTAATAAAAAAAAAAATATTCATTTAATATAGTTATTTGCATTCGGACTCTAAATGGTTCACCTGTAAGGTGATTTTCACATTTCATTTGCATAGTATCTAGAATCTCCTAAAGGAAATAAATTTTTTTAAAGGTAAATGTTTATATTTTATTTTTCATCTTCTTTTCCAAATCATTAACTCTAGCTCTTATCATCAATGTGCAGTGCATTGAAATGTTTAAAATTAAAAAAATTTAATATATACACACCTTTTACTTTTTTGTTGAATAATCTTAAAATATCTTGTGTTGTATGCATAATTTCATGATTTTATCTTTTCACTTGTAGTTTATTTTTAATGTTTAATTTTCCTTTCCAGTTATTTGTCTTTTATTATATTTGCCAAAATACAGACACGTTAACCACACACACACACAAAATGGCACTTGCACAAGCTTATTTGTATAATTGTTCACGAGCAAGGCAAACACAGGTGAATGTACAAAAAAAAAAAATCATTAAACTCTTCAGATATGCATTCTAAAGCACAAATAATACATAATTAACTAAAATATAAAAGTAAAACCTAAATGCAATTTAATCGTCTATTAAAATTATATGTATTAGGTGAGAAAAAATAGTCAAGCCCTAGGGGTGCTGGTCTCCACAATGGACCTAAAGCATCAATTTGCTTATAATTTGATAAGTAATCTATTCTTTTCCTTCTATTCTGGAGAGACTGAGAAATCTCTTCTTTCTATTGGTTATAAGCATCCTATTTAAGTCTACAAAAGACTTGCTTAGCAGTAGATTACTTTGGGATGCGAGCCTGGTGTCTAGTGGGGTGGGGTGATATAACCATTTTGTAAGAATTCTAGCTGTTGAAATATGAAACCAATCTCTGGAATTTGAACTTGTATACGTAGAAGCTCATCTAGATTGTTGTAGAAGTACTGGGAGTAAGCTGTAAAGCAATTACAACTAAGGTATTTCAACTATATGCATGTCATGTGAGACAACTGATGATTTAATTGTTCATTTCAGAGGTTACTTTTGAAATATAGGAATAATTTTTTTATATACAATGCATTTGATAATGCTAATTTATTAAAATACATTGATAGTAAACTGGTTTAATTAAATTTTGAATATAACTTGGTAACACTTTGTGGTATGTGCAGAAAGGTATTTGAAAAGTGTAAGGGTTGTTAAAGGTTAATCTAAAAATCTTGAATTGAACATATCATTTATGATCCCCATGAGTAAGAACCGCGGTTTTTCCTCTCTATCTTTTTTTTTGTAATATATTGTCAGGTATTAGTGAAAATGTTTTTTAATCTTCCACGCAACTAAATAGGAACGCTTTTTTTTTCTTTTTTTTTTTCAAATATCATCTTAACTTCTATACCTACAAAAATAATTCGAAATTTTAATATAAGTAATACAAGTGTTATTCAGGGTTTAAGTGGGTGCAGTTTGGCCCCATGGTAGAGCTCTGGATTACATTGTAAGCAAGCTGAGTTCAAATCCATGTGATACCACAAACTTTTCCACACACACACACTGAGTTCATTATAAGAGAAAGTCAATCCGGCAGCGTGGGTGGTAAGGTGCTGCTGACTGGCTTCCAACTCTGGTGTCTTATTAGTGATAGTGACAGTCTCGGTAGCTTTACCATAAAATACAAGGTGTCAGCTACTAAAGTTTTAAAAAAGTATCTTCTCCTATATAAGGTATTTAATGGCTTGATAATAAATGGGCTAAGCCAACTTTTTCCACTATATCCCCTTGCTTGATAGGGCATATATGAAATGAAGATGATTTTTAAGTACCTGGAATGTATAAATACTCTCAACAATTGGAATAACTGTAGGAAGTAATCACAATTAATTTGAAAAAAAAAAGTTGCAATTACATTTATGGAAAAGTAAACTACAGTAGATAACATTTTCATTAGATTTTTCTGTATGCACTTTTCTCAAAATTTGTCAATAGGATTACTATACAAAAAAAACAAGGTCAAATGTAAGTACTATATTTCTTAATGTCATTCCACAGTATTTCACGTGATTAATTAATTGACAGTCATTGGCTGCAGAAGTCCTATGGTCCGAAGTTGAAAAGGTCACGGGTCAAAGTAGGAAGTGGGTATAATCCAAGAAATGACTCTTCATATCAGCCTTATGGTGGCTATTGGAGTAGAAATTTCAGCTGAGTTTATGTATTATTGCAATATTGGCAGCCTTTCTTTTTTACACTGCATTCCTCCATAGAGAGTGCTGGTGCACTCTGAGATATGAGATGTTTTTGTGTCCTCCCCCTACACTTTGTATATGTTATATTATAGAAAATTTTTTATTTTTTGTGTAAGGATGTGGTGCCATCTATGTATGTAGTTAACATCAACTTCTGTCAAAGAGAATAAATGCTCAATAACAGCAATAATTGGGAGTTGAGAGGGTTTGTCCAAATTACCTTCCCACAAAGTTTGGTGAGATTGGCCCAGTGATCTAGGAGTAGTTAGATAAGAGACAAACAGACACACATTTTTGTTCTTTATATACATAGATTTTCATAACCTAAGCTAATAGACTGTCATTGTTTTATTTATTTATAGATGGCTATTTATAATGCCAAATGGCTTTGTGTGAACAATGGATCAAGTTATCAGTACACTTCTGTCAAACTAATCAATTGCACTTGGAGTGTGCTATCATTGATCACAAATGTTTTATTTATTTCATTTAAATTTACATACAAGTTTAACTTTTACATTTTATTTACTTTTATGACAATAAATAAATATCCATAAAAAAGATAAATAAATTTAGTACTTGCATCTGAGATGTTTTTAAGATTTTGCACTTGTACAATTCAATTCAATGTTAAAGCTTAGACCTAACTCAGATACCCAAGGTAGAGTCTGAAAAATATCCATGCATATAAAAAAATAATGACTTAAAGCTAATATAATTTATCTAACTTTTTAGAATGGAAATGGCTTAAAATAATTCCTATACCTGGTCAAGCAAAATTGGTTTTTGGAAAATTAGGAACTAAAATTTAATATCTTTATCTCAATAAATATGTAATGAAATCTGAAGCATACTTTCTGTCCAGTGTACATTTAGAGCTATGTAATAAATAATGCAAGTATTATCTGAATAATACTCTGACTTTTAAAAACTAAAACAAATTGTTGTATCTTACAAATCTTTTCATAGGATATGGCTATTTTGTCAGTTTGATTATTCTGTTTTACAGTCTTCATCACTATTCTAGTTTATTTTAAACTTACTTTAAAGAATTTCTTTACAGTGTACCTGAACAATATGTGAACATCTATAAGCTGCACAATCTAGAAGTCAATTTTACAAAAAAAACTTATAAACCATTGC